AAAAATGACCTTTAAAAAAAGTCAGTATTCTAGTCTGTATTATCTTTCTCATCACAAAAAATTTTCTTTCTTTATTACATTTTGAATGAATGGTTGGCGGTAGTTTGTTTCTTATTGGTACTCTCTCTGTTCTTCCAACTTTAGGAATCCTGTGCCATGGTAGAGAGAAAGTGGTAACTCCTCTCCTGCTGTCACAAAATGAAACCATATCAAAAGTGTTGCTTGTCCCAAGTATAATTTACATACGACAATGACAGTGTTACAAATCTGAATCCAGGACTTCTGAAAGAATCATGACATATTAGAACTGGACGGGACCTTAATGGTCATTTAGTCTAACCCATTGCAGAAAAATCCTGAAATATCTGAAATGATGGGCCGTGCAATCTTTGTTTTGTTTTTAAGTGGGTGAGTGGGGCAGAGAGGGGAAACATCCGTGCTTGGTACAGTGGAAAGAGTCAGAAGATGTGAGTTCAAACTCTGAACTATAACTCTGACTACTCATTAAGACATCAAATCTAAGTTCATGCTTTTCTGCACCTGTTCTGCCCAGAGCTCCACCAACGGTCACCAATGCTTTACCCAGGAAAGGAGGTCATTCGGGAGTTTCACAGTCATCTCAGTGGATGTAAGCTCTCATAGATCCTACCTCTTCTAAAAGGCCTTGGAGACTCCCAAAGAAAGAACTAGACGATTCCCAAAAGACTCTAGGACCAAATGAAACATTCTCTTTGCCATGGTTCAAAGTCCTTCATAAGCTGCCCAGACCCCAACCCTGCCCATTACACTCTATTCACCTCCTTGTACTCTTCTATCCAGCAACACTGAGCCTCCTTGCTGTTCTGACTCACGGCATTTTCTTCTGTCTCCCATACCTACAATTCCCTCCCTTCTCTTCTCCCTCTCCTGGCTTCCCTGGCTTCCTTCAAGTACTGATAAAGCCCCACCTTCTATAGGAAGCCTTTCCCAATTACCATTAATGTTGATGCTTTCCCTCAGCTGATTATCTCCAAATTATCTTGTTTATATCTTGTGTGTGGTTCCCCACATCAGATTGTGAGCTCCTCAAGAGCAGGGGTGGTCTTTTGCCTTTCTCTGGCACTTAGCAGAGTACTTGGCATACAGTAAGTGCTTAATAAATGCCCATTAACTATTGACTGACTGCAAAAAGTGGGTTTCAGTTCCTCTTTGCCTATGTTTATTCCCTTGATTTCTTTTTCCTATCTCATTGCCATCAACAGCATTTTTAGCAAACTGTTAGATAGCAGTGACAAAAATGGCTATGGTTGTTTCACCAACAGCTTACTGAGAAGGTTCTCTGGAATGGTTCTCCATTACAGATTATGCTCACTCTTGGATTTATTAGACAAATACTTGCCATGTGAAGGAAAAGTCCATTTATTCTTATGATTTACAGTGTTTTTAAGGTTAGAACAGAGCAAGTGCTTAATAAATTTTTGTTTCCTTCCTTCCTTGAACAAAAATGGGTGTTGGACCTTATGCAAATGTATTTTCAGCATCTAATGGGATCATATGTAGTTTTTATTATTTGTTATTAATATGGCTTATTATGTTTCTAGTTTTCTTAATATTGGGCCAATCCTGCATTCTTGGAAGAAACCCAACCTTGTTATTATATAACCTTTTAAATAAGCTTTTGTAGTCAATTTTCAGTCAGTGAATACATATTTATTAAGCACCTACTCTGTGTCAAGCACTGTGCTAAGTACCAGGGATACAAAAAGAAAAGGCAAAAGACATTTTCTGCGATCAAAGAGCTCACAATCTAATAGGGGAGGCAAGCAAATATGTACAAACAAGCTCATATATAGGACAAATAGGAAATAAATGAGAGGAAAGGCACTAAAATTAAGAGGGTTTGGGAAAGGCTTCCAGTAGCAGATGGGATTTTAGTTGGGACTGAAGGAAGCCAGTAGATGGAGATAAGGAGGAACAGCATTCCAGGCACAGGAGGCCAGAGAATATGCTTGGAGCTGAGAAATGGAATGTGAATATTTAGGATTTTTGCATCAATGTTCATTAAGGATATTAGTCTCTAGTTTTCTTTCTCTGTTTTGTCTCTCCCTGGTTTAGGATTTCACAAGGGTTCTTTCTTTTCCTATATTTACAAATAGTTTTATGTAACATTGGAACAAATTGTTCTTTGAATGTTTGGATATAATTCACTTGCAAATCTATCTGAACTTGGAGTTTTTTCTTGGCAATTCCTATATGGTTTAATTTCATTTCCCCCGATAGTTATTTAAATAATCTATTTTTTTCTGTTAATCTGGGTATTTTGTATTTTTGTAAGTATTCACACATTTTACCTGTTAGCAGTTTTGTTGGCATATAATTGGGCAAAATGATTTGAGACTTTCCTTTATTCCTCTTTGCAACTTTTTAAAAAAATCCCCCCTCTAGTCTTTTGCAGTCAAACTTCTAGAGGGAACTGTCTGCCCTTTCTGCCCACACATTACTCAGCCCTTGGCACTCTGGCATTTGATCCTACAGCTCGAATGAAGCTGTTCTTTCCAAGGTTAACAGTCATCTATTAACAGCTAAATCCAACTGCCTTTTCTCAGTCCTCCTCAATCTTTGCAGCACCACACATCCTTGACTACCCTGAAATATTCTCTCCTTTCTGAGCCTCTTTCTGGTTCCTTCTACATTTACAGCCACTCCTTACTCCCTTCTGCCTGCCCCCTTGCCCCCATGGGTGTGTCCCATGACTGGTCCAGGTACACCTGAGCTTCAGGGGGTTTCATGATCATCTCTGCAGGTGTCTCTCAAAACCACTGCCCTGCTCTCCCTCCTCCCCTGATCTCTGCCTTTCTGCTGTCCGTCTCTACCTACAAGCCTTATTGCTATCTCAAACACCTTTTCCCTTCAACTCATTCCCCTTCTCCCAACTTCCCGATTTCATCCAGTCTATAATTTGGCATCTTTCCTCTCCCTCAGCAACACATCGGCTGTCATCTCATTGGATCTGCTCCCATCTCTCGGTCCTGTCTCCTACAGCTACCCTTCAGTCCTTGTCTGGACGATGGCAGCAACTCCCTCCCCCTCGATCTCACTTCCTGTGTCTTAAGGCACAGCAGTGTGATCTAACCACGTCACTCTTCTGCTCAAAAATCTTCAGGGACTCCCCATTGCCATAGAACCAAACACAAATTTGGACTGGCATTTAAGGCCCTCCATAATTGGGGTTGGGGGAAAAGGAGTAGGCATTTATATAGCACCTTTTCTGTGCCAGGCACTGTGCTAAGAGCCCTTTAAAAAAAAAACAAATCTCATTTAGATCCTCACAACATCCCTGCAAAGGGAGACTATTATCCCCACTTTACAGATGAGAAAACTGAGATAGAGGTTAAGTGACTTCCCCAGGGTCACACAGCTAGAAAATGTATGAGACAGAATTGGAGTTCAGGACTTCCTGCTTCTAGGCCCAGCTATATTCACTCCAATAGCTATATACTCCAAACTCTCTCTGCAGCCTTAATTTACATTCTTCTTCTTCCTAATCTCTATATTCTAGCTGAAGTGGATGAGCAGCTCCCCCAAAACAATTGCATTTCCCTCCTTTGTGCATTTGTCCATGCTGTGTCTCAGATCTTTATCTGGTTCAGAACACCACCTCTTCTGTGAAACCTTCCCTGGGATACCAATTACTAATGCTCCCTTCCTTTTCAAGTTATCTCATACTACACCAAGGTCTTAACCTGGTATCCACAGACCATTACCCCCCACCCCAAACGTCCAGGGGAAATAGATTTAAAGGAATCTCATGAACTTGGACGAGAAAAAAATAAATTTTAGTTTTCACCAATATCTGAATCGGGTATCATGGACTCTTTGGCAGTGTTTTGATGAAGTTTATGGACCCCTCAGAATAATGTTTTAACCAGCAGAAGGATGTTTTTAAATGCATACAATGAACTAAGATTACAGAGGAAATAAACTATTTTGAAGTAGAATTATAAAACTACCTTTTAAAAGCCAAGTTCACAGACTCCAGCTTAAGACTCCCTTTTCTAACTGAAATTTAGCACTTCCTTCAATTATTTAAAAACACAATGCTGAGAAGGGGCCCACAGGCCTCACCATACTACTTATTCAAGGGGTCCATGTCATGGAGTATATTTGGAGCCCCTCTACTGCACTCTATCCGGAGACATTTGATATGGGCCCAGTAGAATGGAATCTCCTTGACATAGGACTCTTTACCAGGTACCCTCAGTGTCTAACAATGCCTTGTATACTGTAGGCACATAATAAATATTTGTTAAAATGGAATTCCTCCACACGTCAATGAACACACTTCAAATAATTAAAGTACACTTATTGTTAAAATGATATCAAACAATTTATTTTCTTTCATTTGGAACATCTTATCTGCCTCAAGGTTATTATTATAAACATCAATGATTATTTTACTGTAGGTACACAGATGTGTTGGTCAGACTTCCAGTTAATGAATGCCAGATAAATTAACTTTTATTCTTTCTATTATAGAGAATCATATGGCAAAAATGGAGCACTGAAATCTTCACTGGTTTACACCTAGGCATCAAAATTGCACTTTTAAGACGCAGATTTGATGAGATCCTGGAGGTTGAAGGAGAGCTTTAAAGAATATTAAATCTTATTTTCCAATTAGCTTCCTTTATGTGTCTCATGCATTTATGCACAAACCATTTTTGTGCCCAATGCATCACTGTGGGGATGCATGAAGGCAAGCCTGAGGAACATGTTTTAAAAGGAGAAATCATTTTGATGGAATTTTCCAAATTCAGTATTAAAAAGGGAGCCAGGAGCAGCACAGGGTACTTCTAGTGCTTTGCACACCACCTAGAAGGGTTTGTGGCTGGGCCATGCGTGCTCTAGGGCATGGATGCCGCAGAGGAGGCAGCGGCATTCACCGCCAGACGGTCCTGTAAGTCACCTTGGGAGCACCAGGGGCTTTGAACAAACACCTACAAACACATGCTTTGAAGGACTTGTGTATGACTCTTTAATCAGCTGATTATATCATGAACGCCTAACGTCCCGGGCAGCAAAAGCAGAAATAACTGCAGACGGAGCTGTGTGTACAGGGTGAGGGCGGCTTGTGTCATTCTAGATTCCTGGGAATCCCAGTTTTCGTCTAATATTCTGTTCTGTCAAACCTCTCCCCCCTCCACCCCCATGCCTGCAGTACATCAAGGAACGCTGACATCATGCAGGTGCAAAGTTGTGCTCTCCGCCATTCTTTCCAGCACACTTTATTACATGGTAGTAAGTCATAATTCTGACAGGGGAATTGCAAAGTTCTACAAAACCAAGATTTTAGGTGTGTCTATTAGCTTGTTTCCCGAATTACAAATTCCTGAACAGTCAAAGTTCACACACTGGCTAGCTACACTGCCAAACACAATCTGCACATTGACTGCAGTGTTCATTTCTGTCAAAGTTCATGCATTCGATTTTTAGAAACTATTTGTTCTGGAAATGAAAACTACACCTCTGCCGTTCGTTGTACGGTGCACACCTACTGACTTGGAGGCCTGTTTCATTTCCCAAATTCCTCCACAGCTTTTGATAACGTTTGCCTTTAACAGATTTTTTTTCTAAGTTGAAGAAAAATAAATTTCTCTCAGTCTGATTTCATTTCACATGAACCAAGACCACTGGTTACAAATTCCTACTGAGTGTGAACTGGTAAATTTCTCTTGTAGGGTTAGTTCTATTTGCTGAGAAACAGTGACAGGCAAGCAGGTCTTAATTACGTGAAACTGCAGAGATGCCAATCCTTTTCTCAGTGAGAAGCATTTGCCATCCAGTGTTCATCGTGGTGAGCAGGGTGATCATTCAAACAATTTATTAGTGCTTCATGGTATACATAATTAAATGAAGAAACATTTTAAGCTCAAGGGAATTTTTAATAGGTTACTTGCAAATTATTTTTGCAGGCAACAACTTGACATGATTTTATTTCCAAATCCACAAAAACCAAATGTTATACAAATGAGCTCCATAAAAATGTCAGCGGAGCCCTGGGCTTAGCCAGCAGATTGTTCCAAATCCAAATCTGTGGCAAACAGTTCTTTTTTTTTCCTGCTTGGTTTCCTTTTTTTAAAAATCTTTTTCTTTTTTTCTAGAAAAAAATTTACAGTGAAATGTTACTACAAAACTTTTTATAAGGAATTTTTGCAAAACATTTACATTTTACCATCAACTATTTCTGTTTCAAAATCATTATATAGATTTAATACCCTATGCTGCACATCAATTTTTGTGGGATGACAATTTAGTGACATGCATAAAAAAACCCACAAGGCATTAAAATGAAGACTTAAATACAAATATTGTTGCAATAAAACAGTTATAAAATTGAAAAATAGGACCTAAACATCATGCTTACCCTAAGTTTGACAAATTAACTTTTTCTCCTAGATTACACACTTTTATTACTGCTCTCATGAGTGTGATAAATAATGACTTAACATCAAGTTCTAATGTAATCGGCAACACATATACACAAACCTAAGCAAAGAAAGCATATTGTAAGAAAAAACTATCCTAACATTGGAGTTCTACCGTGATAAATACATAGCTTTGCACTGATAATTACAATAAAAACAAACTTTCGTAATGGCGGCAAAGGGAATGAACAGTGAAATGCCATTAAACAGAATCCTATGCACAGCTGTGCCCTACTGCTCACACTAGCTCTATCCCACTGAGTCAAATAAAGGACAATGAAATTTATGATCCTTCTAAGACAGAAAAGTGGACTTTGAATGGTCTGCAGAACAGACTGTCAGAACGTGTCTAATTCCAGTGGTGAAATGTGCACCTGCTAACACATGTTAATATACTGTATATGCTATAAAGCCATCCAGATTCCGTTGGATAAATTTACAATAGGCCTCATTGCTGATTAAAAAAATAACTTCCATTTCTATCAACACCCATACATAGATATGCATAAGCAGTGGGTTACGGAATATGCTGCAGAATGCCCATATCTTCTTTAACACAAACATGTTACTACGAGGAAACATGATTAAAACATTAAGAACGTTTCTTTGCATAAAGAAATGTACAGCACTGATTGTAGAGCATTAAGGACAGATCAAATAGATGTATTTGATGTTTCAGTTCCCATCTAACCAAACCAACAATGAGCACTAGAGCTAGTGTTCACTTGGACTAAAGAAAACATCTACCTGCTCTGGAGGTGTCAAAGCCAGACACATCGATCGGGAAAGAGTACATTAAATAAAATATACAAAACAATGTACAAAACCCAACTAAAATTTAAAGACTTTGTTACAAGTCTACAAAAGCTTTAAGAAACTTGAAATTTTATAAGCACAGTGTAAAATTGTTTTTCCTTTAATCTCAAAGCTTTTTATGCAAACTGAAAGCACAAAAGACCTTCAGCTTTATAGAACGCTACAAAGGGCTGGCCTCAAGTGGACACAGTGTAAACAATGATCAGGACAGTATTCTTCCTTCTTCAAAAATACATGAAATACGACCAAGTTTGGAAGAGAACCCACATGAGAAGTAAATATTTTTTTTTCTGAAAGAGAAAAATGCACAAGACAACAGTTACCTAATATTAAACAGTCCCCGAATTTCCAATTTTTAATAAACTATTCAGGGAAAAAAGTTACCCTATATAAAAGGATCAGTTTCATTAATTATTTTCTGTGCAAATCTTAAAAAAAAAGTCAAGAACCAAAGGTTAAGCTATGGTTGCTACAATCTAAAATTTTCACATGAAACTTTTGGCCATCCTTCCTGATCAGTAGTGGCAGACTTACAGAAAAGATGTGATAAACTCTACTTTTTCCTTATCGTTATATTAATTTGTTTTTTTTTTAGTTTAGCATATTTCTCAGGCTGCCTTATAAAGGTTTAGTTATTAACATAATATGAAGAAGTGTAAATATCAAATGCCTTATGAAACTATTAACCCACTACTTGAAATTAAATGTAGCTGGCCAATTGTCAGAAGAGGTAAAAGAACGTTACAATGTAACTAATAGATTTTCTGCTGGCCTTTAAAAAAAGTGATAATCCATACTTTTCTTTGGCTACCGAGTAAAAGTATAAAGAATTCTGCACAACATCAACATAACTTATATTTACAGAATATGTACCTACAGAATGAATTACACCACTCAGGTAACAACTCTATCTACAACTTCCAGTAGAAACATTAAAATCAATTTTGTGATCAAAACCAGGGTTAGAAAACCCATGACTCCTAACTCTAAACCTTTACATCTAAATTGCCACCTTTTATTTTCTTAAAGACATGAGAAACTTTCATAAAACCTTTTTAGTATTTTTCTAAAGTTTACTCTAAGATTCAGTTTTAAATTCCTCTTACATCTCCAAATGGAGAAATTAATTGGAGTTCCCTGATTGTCTGAGTCCACACTACTACAATGTAGTGGTCATAATTATCTGAGATGTTCCTCAGATTACTTTGACAGCACTCACCTAATTATGTTTTTGAGGAATCTCTAAGCTGAGAAAAGACGGCCAAAAATATTGTCAGTTTGCTTACAGGAATCAAACTAAGGAAACACAGCAATATCCCTATCTTTTTCAGTGCCATAAGGGAAAGGAAATGCATGTAAAACATTACTGATTCAATTTATAACAAAGTACATCCAAATGAAAATAAGTCCAGTTAAGGTCCAGCCTACAAACTATTGAGGTCTGTCTTTATAAACATATTAACACACATTGTTAAAAGGGGAAAGTTTCATTTAAAAAATTTACGTGATAACAGTTCCAAATAACTAAAAAGTACAGTATGGTGGAAATGCTTATCCAACATGTTTTTTCCAGAATATCAATTTGAATTTTGTATTTTTGAAAATTGTCTCGATGCACCTGCATACGCTTCCTGTGCTGACCCTAAAACTTGGTATTTTTTTTTTTTTATTAAAGAAGCCAAGCATGAAAACATGATTTCCTACTCTGTAATCCACTTTACCGGCCCATTTCCGTATCTTGAAAGGTGTGTAAACTGAAGTGCAGCCCTCGACGTCTCTGCGTAAATCCCCTTTCAGAACTCCTCCATGTTGGTCGAAACATTAGGAGTTGCTGGGTTTGAATCTTGCGAAATGGACGCAACTGTCACAATTCTCGGTGAGCCGAGCACCTCAGTCACAGAGGCATCCAGTTCCCCAGAGGTCACAATGGCAAGGGCTGTCCCGCCGCCTTTCTTATTCTGATGAGTTTTGACGTGTTTGGAGAGATGGTCGCTCCGCATAAATCTCTTAGAACACTCTGGGCACTCAAACCTCTTTTCACCTAAATAAAAAGCAGAGACAAGCAGAAATGATAATCACGCCCGTTTTATTTAATTGTCATGCTTTGAATCTGCTCTTTTCTGTTTTATACTAAAAATTGGTTTGCTCAGGGCCATCAGACTCCCGAGTACAAGGATATTTACTGCCCTTCCATGAGGCACCAGGTACGTGTCCTTTGGAATGAGAACAGTGGCATAATGGAGAACAGGGGCCAAACTCCCCCGTGGGGATTGATTCCAAGCAAGCTCTGACACCAAAATGCAAGGTCACCTTCATCTCTCTTTTTTAAAGGTAGATTGTCAATGCTGGTATTACATGAGATAAATTCATATGTAATCATATTATTCCAATGAAGTATAGTATTTAAAGTGAAAATTAACTCCCAAGTTTTGAACAAGTATTTAATATTATCGTCCTTGCTATTCAGGGATTTAGGTTATAGAGGGAGGGATGAATGAGCATTTATTAATGAGGGCCTACCATGTGCCAGGCACTGTGCTAAGCACTTTACAAATATCTCATTTGTCCCCAATTGATAAACGGTCAAAGGATATGAACTGACAGTTTTCAGAGGAAGAAATTAAAGCTGTCTATAGTCATATGAAAAAAATGTTCTACATCACTATTTATTAGAGAAATGCAAATCAAAACAACTCTGAGGTACCACATCACACCTATCAGATTGACTAACATAACAAAACAGGACAATGATAAATGTTGGAGAAGATGTGGGAAAATTGGAGCACTAACACATCGTTGGTGGAGTTGTGAATTAATCCAAACATTTTGTAGAGTAATTTGGAACTATGCCCAAAGGGCTATAAAATGTGTACATCCTTTGACTCAGCAAAACCACTTCTAGGGCTATATCCCAGAGAGATCATAAAAGTGGGAAAAGGACCCACGTGGACAAAAACATTCATAGTAGCTCTTTTTGTGGTGGTAAAGAACTGGAAATTGAGGGGATACCCATCAATTGGGGAATGGCTGGACAAGTTGTGCTATATGAATGTAATGGAATACTATTGTGCTATAAGAAATGATGAGCAGGCAGACTTCAGAAAAACCTGGAAAGACTTACGTGAACTGATGCTGAGTAAAGTGAGCAGTACCAGGAAAACATTGTGCACAGTAACAGTCACACTGTGTGAAGACTGACTTTTGACGGACTAAGCTCATCTCAGCAATGCAAAGATCTAAGACAATTCCAAAAGACTCATGATGGAAAATGCTGTTCACATCCAGACAAAGAACGATGGAGTCTGAATGCAGATGCATGCAGACTGTTTGCTATCCTTTTCCTCTGTTGTCTTGTTTTACTGCTTCATTCTCATGGTTCCTCTCATTAGTTCTAATTCTTCTTTACAAAATGACTAATGGGAAAATATGCTTAATAGGAATGTACGAGTACAGCCTGTATCAGATTACACGTCATCTTGGGGAGAGGACGGGGAGAGGCAGGGGGAGAAAATTTAACACTCAAAGTCTTATGGAAGTGAATGTTGAAAACTAAAAATGAATCAATTAATTATTAAAAGAAAAAAAACCCGAAGTATATCACATTTGATCCTCACAGCAGCCCTGGGAGACGCTATTATCATCTCCATTTTACAGATGAGGAAACGGAGGCAGATAGAAGTTAAGTGATTCGCCTAAGGTAACACAGCCAGTAAGTGACTGAGGTCACATTTGAGCTCAGGTCTTCCTGACTCCAGGCCTAGCAAATCTATCTACTTCATCTCCTAGCTGCCTAGAGTTACTACAGTTTCTCAAATTATTTTAAAATAACTAATGGATTTCAACAATGACTTTTTATGTATGTTCATATATTATATAAAACAACCATCTACTATATGCCTCAGAAAGTTTTTTAAACTGGTTATTTACAAGCCTACAGAATCATTCCAAATAAGAATATTTATTCAATATGATTCTGATACATTTGTTTGATAGATTTTTCATTTAAAAAAAACAAACCATATCAGATACCAAGAAACGAGGTTACAAAAACCAGAACCTAACTTTGGTAACTGATAATGATGAAAACTGCTGAGTGTCATAAATGATAAGATGCAAAGCAAAAAATGAAACCATGGAGGAAACCACTGAGTTGAACCAGCCCTTTCTTAGCTGATGCTGCTGGGCATGGCGCTGATGAGAGAAACAAAATGGCGGCCTGTGTTTAGGGAGGTCCAATGCCGCCAGCCATCCAAGGCTGGGTGGGGAGGTCAAAGACACCAGGAGGTCGCACATTTGTGGGGTTCTCTAGGTTATCTTCGTTGCAGGCCTAGACAACGTGCAGTCAGAGGGCCTCGTTTCAAAGTTGCCAGTCAGTGTGACTTGGGACAAGTAAATCACTCAACAGGCCTGAGTTCATGAGGAGATGGTAAAGTGTGCTGTATGAATATGAGTAACATTTTATTTTGCTGAAAGAAGTGGTGAAATAGAATCAGTGAAATCTGGAAAGATTTGTACGAACAAAGTGGAGTGAGCCAAACCAAAATGTAGAGATATCAAACACGCCACTGAGGTCGGCCTGAACCAGTTTCAAATGGAATTAGGACCTATTTAACACAACAAAAAAGTACAATGAAACAAGATACAACAATAACTTTAAATCTTAGTCAAATGCACACCACAGGAGTATGGATTAGAGGCCCCCATTTCTATGTGAGTTTTGCCTCTCTGATCTATACAACCACAACCATATTGTAGAGACAAACAATTCTGAAAACCTCCAGCCCTCTGATCAGTGCAGGGACCAGCCATGATTCCAGAGGATCAATGATAAAGCCTGCCCCCCTTCTTCTGGTAGTGTTAACGGACGCAAGATATGGAGCAGGGCATTATTTTTTGGAAATGGTCAATGTGAGAATTTGGCTTTACCACACATATCTGTTACATGGGTTTTCTTTTTCTTTTCTTTGGGAGTGGAAGGAATGGGAAAGAGAGAAACTAAATGTTCATTGTTTAAACAGGGTTTAAAAACTGAGAGGTTGGCATAACGTCCTGAATCCAGGATTCACTGTGGAGCACAGCTGACCCTGGGTTCTCCCAGTCCATGCCAAAGTTCTATTTCTGGCAGCCCCACAGGTTTCGCGAGTGGACCTGATGAGGGGCTGCTCAGATGTCACCCTCCTTTCCAGAGGGCGGGACCTCAGGTGAGGCCTTCTACTAAGCGGCAGGTTGCAGTGTGTATCAATGCACCAAGCACCCCTTCACCACCCCCAATGGCATTATTTAGCCTTAAAGGACTGAGGAATCTCCCCAGGAAAGGAAATCATGCAGCACTTGCCGTGAACACTCTAACCGAGTAGGTTAGGACAGCTGGATTCTCCCTCAGCCAGCAGCCACTCTGGGGCTTGTCCCCTGATGACCAGCTCCTTGGACAGCCGAGTGACCCTTTGGGGGCTCCCCATACTGCTGCTGGAAGGTGGAAAGCTGACTGGCTGGCCTGAATCTTATTAAAGCTCATGAAACCCACCAGCCTCAACCTGAACCAGCTGCTCAACCCTGCCACACCCAGGGACAGCTGCATTCTAATGTGACTCCTCAGGCCTCTTGGCATAAGATACATCAATAACAAAAAACACCTCTGGATTCTTTCACATTTCACGAGATCCAGACGTGGGGGGTGCAGCTCCTCAGCCCAGGGACTGACAAGGCTTCTTAGTGAAAAAGCCATGAGGCCTTATGAGTTTGGCTTTTCTCTTTGCCATCTGGACGCTCCCCAGGTCATGTGACTTTTGAGATGACCATTAAGGTCACTTCCAGCTCTGAGATACACTAATAATGTTTTCAACAAGTAACTTACTGAGAAGGATGGAAGAAAATCTTAATTACGACATTGCCACAGGATCTAGTTTTATTTGAGGAAGCTCGATTCAGAGTCAAGATAAAAAAGTCTAAAAGTTCAGATAAAAATCGAGGATTCGGACTGGACTTGTGATTTCAGTGCTGTGAGGTGCTGTGCAGATGAGAGAGCTCCATCTACGCAGGCAGGCAGACCCGCACCAGCTTCAGAGAGGTGCCTGGAGCCCAGAGCCATTAGGCCAAGGCTGTCTCTCCAGGATAAAGTGTGTTTAAATGCAGCCTTGTAGAATACTGGCTCCTTGAGGGCAGGCCTTACTTGTGATTTTTCTTGGTATCCCAGCACTTTGCGCACAGCCAGAACAGGGGAGGTACATCACAGGTGGTGACATGAAGTGTGGCCAACAACACGGGCCCTGTGAACTGGCGGGGGACACTGAGACAGAAGAGGAGCCATCCTCACTCAGCATATCACCAGGACCCAGGAACAACACCTTCCCCTCAAACTCACAACTCTGATACCTGAATTATCATAAATTCCCCAACCAGGTAATTGGACAAAGTCTTCCTGTGAGACAGGGAGACACAGAAATCTGGTTCAATTGGCTCAGCAGGGTTCATCTTGATGACCATCGCATCGAGAGCTGGATGCTTCTTCTCCCCAGCTGCCAAAAGCTGATGGGCAGAAACCCCACGGCACAGGGTGGGGAGTGCTGGGGATGGAGTCAGGAAGAAGTGGGTTTAAAGTCTGCTTCAGCTACTGCAGCCACTGACTAGCCGTGTGATCCTGGGCACATCACTGACCCTCTCCATGCTTCAATGTCCTCATTTGTAAAATGGGGCAGATCCTAGGACTCAAATGGCCGGATGATTCTTCCTGACAACATCAACAGTCTGTTTTGAATGATATCCTTCCCCCCATTCCCTAAGAAAGTCATTTCAATTAGACATTTGAGTGCCTGTGAGATGTATGGCAAGATACCTGATTGATAGCTCCTGGCACAGCCTGTGGTCCAGAGGCAGATGTTTCCCTTCGGTCTATTTGGCTCTGCCTCTGGGGATGCCTGGACCCCACGGCCTGAGAGCCCTTTTTCTCTCCTCCTCTGTACCCCCCACTGTCATTATGAGCTTCTGGGACCCGTGGGGAGGCCAACAGTCAGGATGGCATCACAGAAGTGACACGCGTCCCAGGGCCCAGGGGCTCCAGGCAGATCACCCACACTGGGCCTCTGGACAGAAGCAGGTACGGGTCTACCTCACTTGCTCCCGAATGCAGTCATCTGCCACAGCGTCCACGGGAACTTAACTGGCTGATTCTGTCCAATTTCACACTGACTTGCTGGTGGGCTCTACAATCTGCCCACTCCTAACAGATGCTAGTATTCAATTAATAACATTGACTGTAATCCTTCAATAAGAAGATGATGTGCCTAATTAAAATACTTATCCACGTTAGAGGAATTTTTTTCTAGGTAAGCTTTTTCAGGAAGAAGTTTATTCAAACATATTAGGAAAAAACAAAACTGTAACTAACCACGGAAAATAAAACAACAAAAACATGATGACACGAAGCATCTAAGGGAGAGGACGTTCGCTGAGGACCATGAATCCTGCTGGTGGGGGGATGTCCAGGTACCATTAGAGCGGCCTCTTCTTTACGTCATTGTTTCTTGATGCCTACGTTCTTTTTAAAAACGCTATTCCTAACAGAGGATTCAAAGAAGCTACTGACTTGCAGACATTCCTCTTTCCTGTGCCTACAAGTACAATATTGCCAAGAGCAGTGACCTCTTTGGAAAAATTCTGACTCAGCATTTCAAATGGATTTGCAGACTCACATGCAATGCACAGGCCAAAGCAGATGGTCCTAGAAGGAGAACCCGGGATATTGGGGCTCTTGGGCCCTGGCGGACCATCTATCTGAAGCTCCCCACTTTATGGGGGAGGCCCCAGTCATCCTGAGTGATGCGCCCGCAGTCACATAGCTACCAAGTTTCGGGACTGAACCTTGAACCCACTTTCCTGACTTAAAGCCCAATGTTCAATTCACTACCCATGCTGTGCAGTCCATAAATTACAAACTACATAAAAAGGCAGTTCTTACCCCGCACATCTACAACACTGCTCACATCTGGTCGCTTCTCTTTACTTCCAAGACCACCAGCCCAGCTCCCACCCTCATCACTTCCTGTGTGGGTTGCCACGAGATCATAGTTACTTTGGAGGGAACTTGAAGTGGGGAGCCAGAGTTAGAAGAGAGAGAGAGAGAGAGAGGCTTTCTCAGGGAGTTTACCATGGAAGGCAGGGGGAATAGGGCGGGTCAAAAAAAGGTTTTCTGTAGCCTGGGGAAACAGTCCCCAGTGTGGACACTGAGGCAGCAGGGAGGCAGCCCCTCCCCATGGCGAGCAGAACGACATCCTTAAAGGCATGGTTCCGATCAGGTCATTTCTCCTGCTCAGTCAACTCCAGGGGCTTCCAATTAATCCATGAATCAAATACAAACTTCCCTTGGTGGCATTTAAACACTTTTGTACACTGGCTCTGACCCACCTTTCCTACCTTATAGATTACTACCCTTCCCCGTCAGTTTCCTCATCTGTGAAATGGGGATGATAATGAGCACCTCCCTCCCACAGCTGTTATGAGGATCTTGTAAACCCCTTAGCACAGTGCCTGGCACATAGCAGGTGCTCTGTGAATGACAGCTATCATTGACGTACCCTTCAGACCAGCTAAGCTGGATACCGCATTCCTCATGCAATGCTCCATCTCTCCCCTCCACACCCTGGGCAGACCTGTGCTCCAAACCAGAACTCACTGCTTCTGACCTCGGCCTCTTAAAACACTGTGAGGCCGCTCCTGATTTCACCTGATGCCAGTCCTCTCTCCACCCTAAGTACCTTGGCTTTACTTGGCATATATTTCCACGTGGACATCTCATCTCTCCCTCTAGAGCACAGAAACTCCTCAGGGACAGGGAATCACCCTCCCCATCTTTGTATTCCCAACACCTAATGCATGGTGCTTAATAATGTTTGCTGCTTGAAGGTGAAGGATGGAGATTTTGTTCTATTATAGAGGTAAAGAAATATGGAGTCATTAAAAGCTATTACCATATGGTGCTCGCTGTCTATCTTTAAACATTACCCTAAACTCCCTGCTAACAACATTTTACAAGTGATTCCACTGGGACTGAGTCATCATTTCTAAAAATTAGTTGGTATTCAGTCAGTCTTATGAAGCTAAGACATCACCATAATTTTTAATTAAAACCAGTCCAAAAGAAAACCAAACTGGTATTTGCAAGTACCTGAAGCAGCAGCAAAGTTCAAGCACCATTTCTAGGACAGTCCCTGGCTACTTCCTATGGATGGCCTCTAAGTGGTGACGGTACCCTCGGAGAGAGCAGAGAGGAACACCACAGGATCCAGAGGTTTGGGGGAAACAAAAAAATGTCCAACCCCCCCCCCAGCACACACACGTACATACACACACCCACACACCCTCACACACACACGCATACACACCCACACACGCATATACACCCACACATGCATATACCCCCCCACACACACACACACAAGAGAGCTGAGTGGACAACGACAGAAGCTGGAATGGACTTAATGCCGTCAAGTGCACAGACTGGAGCTCAAAGGTCACAGCAATGCCTCTTCTCCAGGAAGCCCAGCCAAGGCTCCATAAAGGAATGGTCACCTTAGCTGCTCCTGGAGGGAAGAGTAGAGGGACAGACAGGGAGAGAAAAGAGAGGGTGTGGGCAGAGGCGGGCCGGCCATGGAGTCCGGGAAGAGGAGGAGTCAGGGCTGGAAGGACGAGCTGGAGCCAAACTATGCAGGCCACCAAAGGCCGTGTGAGAGTTTGTTCTGAAGAAAAGTCACTGGCCAGGACAGGACAAGCCTCTGAAACAAGACCCTTCTGAAGGGAAATCCATGTGCAGGATCTTGTTCACAAAACGACTGCAGAAATCCTAGTGGCTGTGTGTGTGTGTGTGTGCGCGCGCGCGCATGTGTGTGTTCATTATATACTAGAGATGTACAGCCAATTGTCCTTTACAACTCAAATCGTACGTTTCACTCATTTTGATCATCACTTCTCTCTTACCTTCCTGGCTCAAGGCTATGCTCAGCCCTAAGTGACCCTCAGTGAGTCAGTCAGTGAGCCGTGGAAGGTTTCTGAGCAGAGCCGTCCAGTGACTGATCCTGTCTGGTAGGACACATTATGACGGTCATGTGAGGTGAGAGTGAGGAGAGCCGGGTGGCCGCCTTAGGGCAGCAAGGGTCTGAGCTAACCTGATGGAAAGAGAGGAGGCAACAAAGAATCTCCCAGGCAGTAAGGACCTGGTGCCTGGCTGCAGCAAGTGGGCTGTTTCCAGCACCAGTGTAAGGACTAGAGGTGCATGCAGTTCTGAAAGGCAGCTTTCCACATGGGACCCCATAGGATGCCCACAACGGCCCCAGGAGGCAAATGCTGTGACCTTCATTTTACAGATGATAAAAAGGGGCCTGCTTGGGTACGCATGGTTCAAACTTCTCTGAGGCATGATCTGAACTCAGGGCTTCGATTCCCAGTCAGACCCTCTACCAACTCTGTCACCTACATAAGCAGGCGGGCGTCAGGAGGAGGTGTCACTCTTGGAAGGCCACAGGAGGAGGAGGTCAGTGGCCCGTGACTGCCAGTTCATACCAGCAGCATCTCACAGCTCTTGGTGTCTTTCCCATTTGGATCACCAACTTTCCTCAGGATAGGAGCCTCAGGCTGTGTTCCCATGTTCCTGGAGGAGGGGATCCTGGGGGGCCACACTAACAAGTGGGGTGACAGGAAATCTGTGAATGTCTCAGATTCCATTTTCCCACCTGGATACCAGCTCTCAGCCCCTCCCTCCTTCCTTCTGGTCAGCCGTTACGCTGACGCAGCCCTTGGACAACTGCATTGGCCTCATCTGGTCTGCTATGTTGGGGCAAAATAAACTCGCTCCTTTGTTCAACTGTCAGCAACTCACAAGGGCCTCAATGCTTCCCAACATGGACCGTGAATTAGGAGAGCACACTGCCGCAGGCGGAGCCTTGCTCACGACCATCCCCACTCCTCTTCCAAGGCTGGCTCAGGTACCATCTCCTCCAGGAAGACCTTCGTGAGCCCTCCGCTTGGTAGAGCCATTGTGACCCTCCTCTCGCTCCACTGTCTTCTATTTCCTTGGCTATTTATATATTTTAGCCCACTTGCCCCCAGCCCAAGCTCCTTGGGGGTAGGGCTTTTTATTTGGGAAGGGGGGACCACAAAAGAGGAATTCTGTATCCTCTCCCCTCACTCTCAGGGCCTACAACAGTGCTGGCACTGCTGAATTTAACTGAACTTAAAACATTTCACCTCCGACATGAGGTCAACTAAACGACCACAATTCAAAATCTCACCTTCTAACTCAAAAACTGTCACAATAACATAAATAAACTCAACATTTGGGGATACTTAAAATCCCATGAAAGAAAGTCAAATACATGAAAATGTTGAGTTCTTTCAATAGGTAAAAACTTGATCCTAAAAACAGATAAGAACATTCTGACTTTAAATGTCTTAAATAAAACTTTCAAAACCGTAATGCGCTGCTGGCACACTTTGAGTGTGGCGCTGCTGTCCGGAGTGGGGAAGTGTAGGCCCTGGAGGGAGGACAGCAGGGAGGGGCGGGCAGGCAGGCGGGCAGCCTCGTACCTGTGTGGGTCCTCCGGTGCCGCTGCAGCTCATCGCTTCGCGTGAATCTCTTGCCACAGAAGATCCAGTTGCACACGAAGGGCCTCTCACCGGTGTGCCAGCGCAGGTGGGCCCGCAGGTGGGACGTTTTGCCATAAACTTTCCCACATCCTTCAATGTGACAGATGTGCTGCTTCTTTTTTCCTGGCTCATTAGTGCCTCTATCAAGAACAAGACAAACACTCACCTTTCTTTGCAAGGTTAGCTCACTACCACACAAAACCCCAAATGAATCCCACAAGGCTGACCAGCCCACAGGTGCAGAACTGACAGACGATGCCATACAGGTATCTCAGTCACCCCAGTAAGACCCAAGAGTATGGGCTCAGGACCCAGCTTGAGGAGTCTTTCAGATGCCAAACTGTCATGAGAAGGCTGGGTCATGCTAAAGAACCCCTGCCCTCAGGGAACAGAAGGAAGCCAGCATTCCTCAAGTGTCTGCCTGGAGCCCCGTACCAGCTAAGCCCTCTCTAATATGATCTCATCTGATCCTCATAACCACCATTGAGGGTGGTGCTGTTATTCTGAGCCTAGATTTGAACTCGGGTCTTCCTGACACCAGGCCCCATGGAGCAGCTGTTCCCTCAGTTTAGGTGGACCCCTTGGATCCTATTTCCCAAGTCATCCCACCTGAAGGCAGGTCCCTTTGCTACTGGAGGAGGAGCCATCCCACAGACCTGGGCAAAGGTCCCCCCATCAGCGCTCACCTTCCTTCTCCCTCGCGGCAGTTGGGGCAGGAGCAGGCCACTCTCCGCAGCCTCTTGCCAGGCTGAACCTCTTGGTCTGACGTCTGCTGGGCTTGCTGCAGTTGAGTGATCTGGTCAGGGCTGACAGCGCCTAATGTGGCGTTAGCGAGGCCCCCGACGGCCACCGTCACTGGGGCAATGGTGGCCTGCTGCACTTTCACTCCATCCTGGCCTTGCTGCTGACCTGTTGAGAAAAGGCGCCCATCAGAAACAGCCCAAGAGTTATAGATGGGGGTCATCGAGGCTCTGGCAAGCAGACCCTCCCCCAAGGCCACACAAAAGCCACATTGGGGTGTTTTTGACTAGAATCCCAGTGTCCTTCCATTACCTTCCAATTCTAACATGCTCAGTCTTACAAAGGGTAAGAAAAGGAAGGAAAGGAGAGGTCAGGAGAAAGGAAATAGAAGCTGGTGGAATGACTGAAAAGGGGCTGGTGAATTGTTCAAAAGTCTTTTGCAGCCAAAGGTTTTATTTCGTTTTTATATATAACAAGGACAGGGCCTGCACCTGGGACCTCACTGTCCCATAGAGGAACTCCCAGGTGAGGACACTCCCTCTCCCAGGGCAAAAAGGAGCCATTTCCCAATTGATAAATGGTCTAAAGACATGAAAAGACAGTTTTCAAAAGAAGAAACACAAGCCATTTATAGCCATATGAAAAAATGCATCTCTGTGAGTCAACCCAGATCACAAAGCTAGGATGTCCTCCACTACACTAATTAGCCTCTCACTCGGCAGTACAATCACTGTAATGATCACCCACTGCCAGGGCGGGTCAGGCAGTCCACAAACTGAGAGCAAAGGCCTCTGCCTGCCCTCATGGAGCTCATGAGCTACCGTGTAGCCAGAAGGTCATCTTGGGGGAAGGCCCTTCAGTTCAGTAACTGAGCCCAATCCTCAGGTGGGGTAGGAATGGGGGGAAGGCCATGGGGCAAGTGGATTCCCTTACCCCCCTTAAAGAAGATAAAATGCGCATGTGCGGTGTGCACATAAGAGGAGCCCTCCTAGTACACATCCAGTTTCTGAGCGCTCATCCCATCCTCAGGTGTCATTTTCATTCCCCTATTAAGTCTTCAACTCTACAAGACTTTTCCTAGAGCCATTAAAGCAAATTAACCCTTGGGGGGGGTATGAGGGTAAGGACAGGGAGTTAATGTAAGGGGGCTGAATGCAGAAGACAGACCTAAAGTACCAAACTGAAGGGAGACCTGACTAAAACCAAGGAGCAGAGGTCAAGCAAAGGCCAGGCTGGGAAGAGATACGGGCTCTTGGGAACTAACCAAGGGGACCTGGCAGGGCCAGGTTTCTCATTGTGCCACAAAGCAATTTTTACTGAAATAATTTGTTGTTGGTTAAGAAACAGAGGGATCAATCAGTGTAACAGATTAGGTACCAGCTACTGTGATAAAGACTCACTATTTGACAAAAACTACTGGGAAAACTGGATAGCAGTATGGAAGAAATTGGATTTAAACCAACACTTCACACTCTACAAAGATAAGCTCCAAATGGATACATGATCTAGATATAAAAGGTCATGTTAGAAACAAATCAGAGAAACATGGGGGAAAATTTTTCCTATCATATTTATGGATTCGAAGAAAAATCATGACCAAATAAGAGAGAGACCACAGAAGATGAAATGGACAATCTGAATTGCATGAAATTAAAAAGGTTTTGCACAAACAAATCTAATAAAGCTAAGATTAAAGGGGAAACAACTTGGAAAAAATCTTTGAGGCAAATGTCTCTGATAAAGGTCTCAATTCTAAGATATAAAAATAACTGATTCAGATTTATAAGAAAGAGAGCCATTTCCCAATTGATAAATGGTCTAAAGACATGAAAAGACAGTTTTCAAAAGAAGAAACACAAGCCATTTATAGCCATATGAAAAAATGCTCCAGATCACTGCTATATAATTAGAGAAATGTAAATTAAAGCAATTCTGAAATTCCCCCTTATGTTTATCAGAATGGCCAAGATGACAAAAAAGGAAAGTGATAAGAGTTGGAGATGGTGTGGGACAAAAAGCCACTGATGTACTCTGTTGGTGGACCTGCTTATGAAAGGGGACAATCATTCTGGAAACCAATTTGGATTCTGTACAAACTACTAAATATTGTGTGCCCTTTGAAGCTGTAATGTGCTTTACGAAATGAAGAAATAGATGATTTTGGAAAAACATGGTAAGACTTACATGAACTGATTCAGAGCAAAGAGGACAAATGCAGAAGAACATTTTTAACAAGAAAAACTAATATTTACATAGCACCTACTACCTGCCAGGCAGGCCCTGTGCTAAGTACTTCACAAATATTTCCTTTGATCCTCACAACAACCCTGGGAGGTAGCTGCTGTTACTATCCCCATTTGGCAGATGAAGAAACTGAAGCAAAAAGAGGTTAATTAATGTGATCTACCAAGATCAGGAAACCCAGAGAAAAACCCAAATTTGAACTCAGGTCTTTCTGACTCCAGGTCCAATGCTCTGTGCACTGTGACGTCCCTGAGCTGCCTCTCACTATGACATCAATATTATTCAAATGAATCATTTGGAGGACTTTTATTAACTAATCAAGAACAAAATTAGCAGAACACGGAGAATAATTTATATATAACAATAATAATGCTGTAAAAACAAACAACTTTGAAAGTTACAAGAATTATGATCAACACAATCACCACTCATGATTCCAAAAAATCGATGATGAAACATGCTATTCATCATCCTCTCCAGGAGAGGAATTTAGGATGTGGAATGATTCTCTCTCTCTGTGTCACACACACAAATTTGTGTATAATTATTAGGAGAATTTGCTTTGCTTGACTTGATATTTTTTTACAAGAAATATGATTTTTTTTCTTTTCTTTTTTCTTTAATGGAGTAGGGGGTAGAAAGAGAAAACAGGTTTTCTTTTTCAAATAGAGAGGTCTAGATGTAAAATTTTGCATGAACTTTCAGATGTGGTTACTGTACTCTTGGTTTTATTTTTACTTTGTTAAAGAGACTGCTCAAGAAGCAGGAGTATCCATACATGTCTGTCATGTGAAAACAAAACACCTCAATACAACTGGGGAAAGAAAGACGGGCGCTCTAAGACACAGTTTTGACCACCCAGGTAGGGATGCGATAATCCCTGAATCTTAGGACTGGCAGAGATGCTAGCTAGTTCAGGCCACAGTGGAACAGGATACCCACAATAAAATATACAACCGAGGGCTATCCAGTTTCTGCTTGAAACTCCCACAAAGTAGAGTTCATGGGCCTCTTTGAGGAGGCTGTAATTTTTAGAAAGTTCTTCCTGATCCCCAAGCCTAAACTTGTATCTTTGCAACTCCCCTCTGCTCCTGGTTCTGCCTTTAGGGACCAAATAGGAGCAGCTAATTTCTCTTTATAAGACAGCCACCCCTGTGTTCCCTTGCAAATTCTTTTCCAGGCTACACAGCCCCAGTTGTCTTCAATAACCTGCTTAGACATCAGCCCCTTTGCTTTCCTGATCTCACATCAACATTCTCTAGCTTATTGCCCCGTGGCACCCCAAACTGAACTCCATACTCCTGATATGGCCTGACCAGGGCAGACAGCAAAGTCACTATCACCTCCTCATTTCTGCAAGTGATAACCCTTTTATGAAACCTTATTGCATTAACTTCTGTGGCTGCCACATCCCACAGTTGAATCATAATGAGTTGATGGCTCACTAAAATCCCAGATCTTTTCCCAAATGCTATTAAAGAATGCCTCCTTGAGCTTGTGACAATGATTTTTTGAGTCCAGGTGTAAGACTTTACATTTATCCCTACTAAAATTCCTCTCCCTAGAATCAGCTCAATGTCAAAAACAGCCCTAGTCAAGAGCCCTCTGAATTCAGGTTATATCATCTTACAGATTTGCTATCTCTTCCAACCTGGCATTATCTTTCAATTTTCACAGCATTTGGTATTCTCAAATGAGATAATGTGTACTCTAAAGAGCTAATATATAAATACCAACTGTCTTTCAGATTACCCTCCCAACTTCTGACCTTCCCATCTCTCTTCAAGTTTCTGTTGGGGGCATAGACAAAATCCTGATGGGTACTACTGAACTGAAAGCACTGAGCGTGACCCACTGGTCACTGGGAAGTACAAATTACAGGAGGTACAAACTGTAGAAAACTAACACATTGTGTTAGGAAATCTTACAAAAGACTCTGATATTAAAAAATGGCTGACAATAACAAGTCTCATGATAACGCATAATTTCAATTTTTTTTAAAGTAGAAAAGTACAAGTACAAAAACACCAAAACACTGGATGTGTAAAACACGGCAGACAATGGGAAGATCTGGAGGTCTGAGTGTGCTGCAAGTTCCCCACAGGTCAGTAGTGTAAGATGGCAGTCAAATGAATGACTCTGCCATTAGGCTGCCTAGAGAAAGAACAGGGTCACAGGACAATGAAGACAACAACTTTTATGCCACTTTTCCCTGGTTGGACTCCATCTGGAAAACTCTCTTTTGAGCTTTCTAACAACCCTGGGAGGGGTGTTATTATCCACATTTTACAAATTAGGAAACTGAGGCAAAAAGAGATTATGTGACTTATCCAGGACCACACACCTCTTTCTGTCTGTTTCCTCACTCCATTTGTAATACTCTGTGTAGTTCTGGATGCCACATTTTAAGTATACCGAGGGCACCACTAGCAAAGGTCAAATTAGTATAGTAAGGAAACTTAAAACCACAAACTATCCGAAGGAACTAATAATGTCTAGTCTGGCTCCTGGGAGACAAGATCTCTTCAGATTTCTTAAGGGCTCTCATGTGAAAGAAGTTTGAATTTTGAGGTCTGACTCTGGAAGAGAGAACTACTATCGATGTCTTGAAGAAATGGGAGACTGTGGAGAAGAAGAGAAATTTTGGCTCAGTATTAGGAAAAATACCCTAACAATACATACGGAAGCCCCATAGTAGAGTAGACTAGCCTGGGAAAAAGGGAAATTGTTGCTGGAGGTCTCCACACGGAGCCAAGATCCTTTTTTTCTGGAATGCTGCAGAGATTTGTGTTTCATGTAGGGACAGGGCAACCTCACAAGCTCCTTCTGATTCTAGGATTCTGTGATTCTATGAAACTGATTTAACTGACTCCCTTCAAGTAGACGGGACATTTCTGAACATGTTAGTACTTTTGGTTATTTTA